ATCCTGGCATGTAGGATTCGCTAGGATCTTGGATATTAAAAATGTTAAGACATATTTGTTGTTCATCTTCTGGCAGCCTTGCATGGTAACCCGGACAGAAAGCACACCCAGATGAGCCAGAGTTCTACTTTAAGGTTTCAACAACAGAATCTTGCAAGTTTGAAAGTAATTGCTCCCCAGTTGCCTTTAGAACCCAAGAAATTAGGGAGGGTCCCTTTTGGGATGTTTGCCACACCCACATTCCTGCTGCTGATTAAGCTGCCTCTTATTTGTTTATTTATTCAGTTTCTATAGCCACCCATCTCAGACAAGTGACTCTGGACTGTAACAATCATAAGTTCAGTTAGAACCAGGGCTTTTTTTGTCATAGAACGCCCAGAATGGAGTTCTGGCACCTTTTTTGGATGGAACCTTGTAGGGTAGGCAAGGCGGGTTGTATGACATGTGTGAGTTCCAGCACCTTTGTTTGTTTGTTTTTTTACAAAAAAAAGCACTGGTTAGAACCAAATGCAAACACGACACATAAATAAATAAATGTATGTTTCTATCTATCAGCTGCAAAAAATTATAACTATAACTACCAATATAACCAGGAAACGGTCCTTAAATGTTTGGGACCCCACGTGCAGGCATATAACATATCTGATTGTCCCCTAGCTGTGGCTCCACTCCCTGTTTCCCATGGCCCTTCCCTCATATCTCTATATCTTCCTTGAACTTTTTGTTAGAGGAAAAAAAAACCAGCTTTCCTAAGTTGCAGTTAAGTAATGGCTGCAACCTTCTTAATATTGGCACAGCAAAACAGATTTCTGTTCTGCTTTGGGAATATTCTGAAGAATTGTTTTTAAGCACCCAGGTTCCCCCAACCTTTCATGAAATATTTCTTTTAGTTGAAATGTTCTCAGGAAACCAAAAACACTGCTATAGTATTTTTGTAACATAGCTTTCTTTGGTTATCATACAATGCAAAAAGATTATCAATTCATTATTAAACTGTGGCTTTCCTCAATTTGTATTGTTTCTCAAGGCAATGAGATCACAGCTCTTCTTCCTTACCTCAAAGTTTCCTGCTATGTGCTAGACCAGCTGCCTATTACTCTGCCTGTTAATATCAAATGAAATGTTTCCATAGGTGGACAATTTCTTCTGTATGGGATCTCCATTAGCAGTGTTTTTGGCCTTGCGTGGCATCCGTCCAGGAAACAGTGGAACTCAAGATCACATTCTACCCAGAAAAATTTGTAACCGGTTGCTAAACATTTTTCATCCAACAGATCCAGTGGTGAGTGTTAGTATAGTAGCAAGCTTTCACAGAACAGAGGCAGCTATCATGGAGCCAGATGAGGTAGCCGCTCAGATAGCAAAATTTTGATTAAAATGGCAGCGAAGTTTATTAGGCCATAGTACATCAGGATTTTTTTGTAAGGAAATAAATTGAAGGATTCCATGGATGGAAGTCCTGAAGGGAAAAACAATTCAAGACGGTTGGGAAATTCTGAAAAATGAGGTAATTAAGGATCAAACACAATACCAAAGAGAAAGAAAAATAGGAAACAGCTAATGAGACCAGTATGGTGGCATAAAGAACTTTCTGAGAAATAGAGAAACAAAACATGGAATTTAAACATGGAAAGAGGGGATCATAAAAAAGCAGAAAATGAGAAAAATAGTTCAAATCCTTAAAACTTATTTTACGATTTTTAGAAAGGCTAAGGCTTAGAATGAACTGAATGTTACAATTAAACCCTTTTTTAAAAAATGCTCTTTGGGGTATATGCAGAAGAGGAAGAATGTGAAGGAAATGGTCAGTCTGCTGCTTGGAGAAGGCTGAACTGCTTAATTCTTATTTTGCATCTGTCTTTTCACAAAAAGAAAAATGGTTCAGCTTCAGAAATGGGGCAGAAGAGACTTCCAGGTCAAAATAGGCCAGGAATTTGTGATAGAACACTTAGCTGCTTTGAATAAATTCAAGTCTAATTGCCTGGATGGATTACATCCCAGGGTGCTAAAGAAACCGCTGTCTCTTCTGTCCCATTTCAGAACCACAAAAGTTCCAGAAGACTGGAGAAGAGATAACGTTGTTGCAGTTTTATGAAAAGTGAAAAAAGTGGCCCAGAACACAGCCCAATGAGCTTGACACCTTAATATCTGGGAAAATTTAAGAAAGGTTGATCAAGTAGTGAGTTTGCAAGCATTTAGAAAGAAACAGAGTGATTACTAGAACCCAGTATTATTTGTTAAACATAGGCTGTGCCAAACAAATTGTATTACATTTTTACATTACAAAATAACTAGACTAGTAGGCCAAGAGAATGTTATGGATGAAGTATACTTAGACTGTAGTAAAGCATTTGGTAAACTGGACGATGACCATTTTTGATGGCCCCATTACAGATGAATTCAGAGTTGATCAACTTGAAGATAATGTTCAAGGATAAGTCACACATTTATAAGCTTTTTTTTTTTTTTTGAAGTTGGTTATCACAGGCTACCAAGCAATTGCCACTTCTAGTTGAACTTGGCAGAAACATTTTCCTTAATGAATTCAGTCACACAAAAGAATAGCCTTTTGAAATTAAGTTCTGCAAAAGGACTTCCATAGTAAGACTATTGTTCTAGTACACAATGTGGGTCTTGGCCTTCAGTCTTTCTTCAGGGTCTCACTTTCTTCTTTTCTTTTCTTTTCTTTTCTTTTCTTTTCTTTTCTTTTCTTGGTCATGTGGTTATATATTTATTAAATTTATAGCCGCCTACTCCCAATAACTCAAATATGAAAGAAAATACGAAGAAATGTCTAAACATTAGAAACATCAACTACATGAACTAGATGTATTATACTAGTAGAAAATCAAAGCATCAATTCTTGCATTTTTCTTTTCATAATTGGGGGATGGTTGTTCTAGAAATGTTAAAAGGAAACAATTTATTCAAAACCTTACTTGATCTTTAATGCACTAGTATCCTTAGCAAAACCTAGCAAAGCAAATTGCTCATTATTTCCATGTATATTGCTGATGTTTCTTGCCCTTGTGCAAATGTGCCAGATCAACATACATTGCTTATTTTAAAACAATGTGTAGTACAAATTAATTTAAAATATTCTCAATTCTAACATAAGCTAAAATGATTGTTTGTATAAAGCTCATATGAAGCTGCAGGACAGTAATTCTTTTTTTTTCTCTAGACAGCAGGATATTTAGATCAGTCATATTACGAATGAAGGCAAATACTGTATATGTCTCCCAGGATAATGTTGCAGAATCCGTTCGGGACCAGAGGTTTAATCTTCTGATTTTTTGAACTCATGCTGGAGCCCATCAGGGAACTTCTCCCTAACGGAACATATGCTTTGGACTATTCTATGCATAGTATTTATGTGGTGCCTGCTTGTGTGTGGCACCACGTAAATACTATGCGTAGAATAATCCCTCGAATGGAATAGAGAGGTTCCCTGGGGATGGGCTCCAGCACAAGTCCGAAAACTCAGAAGACCAAACCTCTGGTCCCAGTGACTGACCCAGATTGGATCTGCATCAGTCATATTGTTTAAAACTTTTAAATGGAGGTGAAAAGAGAAGGAACATTACTTAAGCATTTAAGTGATAAATGGGTAGATATTTGACCAGATGAAGAATGTATATATCTAAAATGTTCCTTGTTCACAGTCTCTTTCTTTGTCTTCCTATTTGCAGGCCTATAGACTAGAACCTTTAATTCTGAAGCACTACAGTAATATTTCTCCTGTGCAGATACATTGGTATAACACCACAAATCCACTACCTTACGAACACATGAAGCCAAGTTTTCTCAATCTAGCAAAAGAATCTACCTCTGTTTCTGACCCTGAATCTCTCACAACATTACCCAGTCCAACAACATCCCCTGTCATGTCTCGGCGGCATTATGGGGAGTCCATAACAAATATAGGCAAAGCAAGCATATTGGGTAACTATATGCTAAATTAAACCTTTCTTTGTTGATGTGTTTGTCTTCCTCTAAAGCAGTGGTTCTTACATTGAGGAGAATGTAGGCATTATCCTGGAGGTAATGGACAATATGTAATTGCTTATTTATGATTCAAAATCCAGTTTCAGACTGCTGCTGTGAAGAGCAGGATCTTTTGGGTTCTTTTGTTGTTTGTTTTTATGAAGTAATGACATTTTTCTGAGATCAGGAAAAGGGGTAATTGGGTGAAATAGTTTTAAAACCCTCCGCTCTAAAAAATAGAATTCCTGGAGTCATGAGGCTTATAGTGACATTGCGTCAATCACTATATCTCAGATTAATCTACTGCACAGAAATAATAGAGGCAGCATAAGCACAAGATACTGATAATTTAAATTTCCTGGTATGGTTTTCTTTGATATTTTTGCTTTTTAAAAAAGATATATATTAAATAAAAAATGAAAATATGACAGAAGAAATGTGCTCCTATAAATGGTGCTGCGAGGAAGCATAAATGTTTAATCATAATGTTTGGTTAATCCTCATTTAGTGACTGCCTTGTACAGCAACCATTCACAGTCCTCACATTCATGACCTTTTCACATCTGTAAAGCAAAGGAAAGCTGTAGTAAGATGATAAGCGCAGTTTCACTTAGCAACCACTTCGCATAATGACCAGGTTCTGGTCCCAATAGTGGTTGCTAAATGAAGACTACCTGTATTACATTTCAGACACACTCTTTCTTCAAGAGTTCATAATCCTATATAGAATATTGAAATTTGAAACGTTGCTCTGTGGGCTAGTGGATAGCACTTTTTAATCATTTGGGCTAACAGTGTTTCTCAACCTTGACAATTTTAAGGCATGTGGACTTCAACTCCCAGAATTCCACAGCCAGCATTGCTGGCTGTGGAATTCTGGGAGTTGAAGTCCACATGCCTTAAAATTGTCAAGGTTGAGAAACACTGGGCTAAAAGCACTGTCCCATAGATGAGTCTTACGCAGCTCAGTTTCACATCATTTCATGATTCCACTAAGTGGAGGAAAGGATTTATTATATGCACCCAGTTTTGGTCGCCATGGTATAAAAAAATGTTGAGACTCTAGAAGGAGCGCAGAGAAGAGCAACAAAGATGATTGGGGGACTAGAGGCTAAAACACATGAAAGAACAGTTGCAGGAACTGGGTATGTCTAGTCTAACAAAGAGAAAGACTAAGGGTGACATGATAGCAGTCTTCCAATATCTGAGAAGAGAAAAGGGGGTCAATCTATTCTCCAAAACACCTGAAGACAGAGCAAGAAGCAATGGATGGAAACTAATCAAGGAAAGAACCCTTGGGTTGAGGATGGGACTCTTTTCCATATTAGCACAACTCTGTCATAAAGCCTGGATCCCACCCCAAATAAATAAGTAACAACTTGGTTGTGAATGGGTTGTATAATATGTCTGCTGCACCTATTAATGTCCATGTATTAGCAAGTAATCAGTGGAACAACCTGCCTCCAGAAGCGATGAATGCTCCAACACTGGAAGTTTTAAAGAAGAGACTGGACAACCATTTGTCTGAAATGGTATAGGGTTTCCTGCCTGAGCAGGGGGTTGGACTAGAAGACCTCCAAAGTCCCTTCCAACTTTATTATTCTTATTATAATAATAATAGTTAAATAGTCAAGTTGGAAGGGACCTTGAAGGTCATCTAGTCCAACCCCCTGCTCAGGCAGGAAACCCTATACCATTTCAGACAAATGGCTGTCCAGTCTCTTCTTAAAAACTTCCAGTGTTGGAGCATTCACCGCTTCTGGAGGCAGGTTGTTCCACTGATTACTTGCTAATACATGGGCATTAATAGGTGTAGCAGACAGTTCCAATTGATGCATTTTTAATGAAATAGTGACCCTGGAATACAGTATCTGAGAATGACACTAGTAGTTTCAGGTAAAACTACCGCATGGGGGCAGCAGACACAAAAGAAAAAACTCAGTGTTATAGTCCTTAAGGGTGAATAACTGCAGTTTCAGTGGCACTATTTTAGTCAAATACTTCTATACGCATGATGAAGGAAAGCTCTGGGGTGGCAATGGACAAAAAAAGCAGTTACACAGCCACTGAGTGTTACAATCAGACTGTGAAAAAATAGTCATGAAATATGGACACTGGTCAGTTATACTTGAAGTGGCATGTAGAGAAAACCTTGTGATTTCTGTAACAGGGAGCAGTTGTGGTCTTACCATAACCTGTCACTAATCCTGGAGTGCTGTGGCTGCAGAATAACATGACTTGTTTTATTGTGCTAATTGAACAGGGGCAGCTAGCATTGGGAAAGGCCTCGGAGGGATGCTGTTCTCGAGATTTGGACGTTCCAATCTGCCCACCTCACAAGTGCCTGAGCCAGGAAAAGAAGGAACAGAAGCGGAGGACAAGAAGCCAGTTTTGAGTCAAACATCAGTCGGGACTCAGACTTTTCCACACAGCAGTTCTGGCTTCCTAGATCCAACAAGTAAGTAGATTTGGTTCTTTACTTTGCTAATTATGTTTTCACCTTTCTCTCTAGGGCAGGGATCACCAAACCCTGGTCTGTAGACTGGTATTGGCCCACTAGGAACCACACAAGTGAGCGATGCTTCATCTGTGCATGCGCAGGATCTAGGTAGCACCATCCCTCCCTCCCTAAAAGTTGGGGACCACTGATCTAAGAACTGCTTCCTCCTGATCTGCAAGCAGGATTTTGATTAGCAGTGAGCAAGCCTTATGAGTTGACAAGAGAAGGGATCATGACAAGCTTCAGTGTAGAATTGAATTCCAGTTCATTTAATTCTAGAAGTTCTGGCCCTACAAGTTAGAAAGCAAAGTAATATCTAAGCCCTAAATATCTCACTCTCCAGTTTTTAGCTCTTGCTCTTATGAGACAATCCTTGCTGCTGCTTCAGTTTTCAGTTTTACTGATATTTCCCTGTTCTTCAATTGCTCTTATTATGCAGACCGTTGTTTTTTTTTATTCAGGGACAACTAGCATAGCTTCTTTGGCTGATATGTAGCTTATAATATTTTGGCTGGAAACTACTTTTTAGTGGCACTGCTGCCGAGCCTCATAATTTCCATTCTGTTATGTGGTTGGGGGGTGATTTTTGATATCTGTATCTAATTTAGCAACTTTAGGAGATGAAGGGTGCCACTTAATAGTGCTGCTTCCCCCCCCCCCGCTCAAATGTTAGGTAGATGTGAAGAATAAAAAATGCAGCAAAGGACAAGAGGACAGTTCTTGTGCAGTAATGATTTTGTTTCTTGCCTAGTTGAGCTGGACCACAGGATCGACTTTGAGCTCAGGGAAGGCCTGGTGGAAAGCAGGTACTGGTCTGCCGTTACATCGCATACAGCTTACTGGTCATCAATGGACGTCGCTCTCTTCCTTCTTACCTTCATGTACAAGCAGGACCAAGGGGAGGATAACATCAAGCCCCACTTAGATCCTGTTTGATTAGGGATAGGGCAGAAATTAGGGAGGAGTGGGAAGGGGAGAAAGGATGAAACATGACAATTGGCACAAAAACAGTCAGACAACATCTGTTTTTAAGGCATGGTGGTTTCAGTTTAAATGCATGTCTGATTTCCTTCCTTCCGAGGTTATTTGTCCTTCAATGCACATATCCATTTCTGTGCTAATTGAGGCCTTCTTGAAAGATCATTCTCAGCTCCCACCCTTCCAGCTTTCAAACAAGCCAGCAGTAGTTGTTTTAGCATCCATGTAGAATAACATCTTTGCAGATTAACATATCTGTTTAAGAGTAGCTGCTTTTTTTTTTAAATACAGAGGTTAATCTGTTACAATGGAATTTGTTTTCATTTAAGAGAAATGCCTGCAGATCTAAAAGAGCCATGTTCTGTGTCCTTTGTATGGGTTAAATTAAGAAGCAAATGGGTACCGTTGCCCTCGATTGCATTGAAACTCCATCATGTAAGTGGCAGATACAAAGGGTATAACACAACTCATTCCATGTACTAAACTGGCAAGCAGTCCTTTGGAAATATTGTAACAATAATTTATTATTACCTCTTACTATTTGTTTTCTCCAATGTATTAAAAATGTTAGTTTTCTACAGTTTTTTCCCTTTTGTTTTCTTTGAAGCAGAGGAACACTAAAAAAAAAATCACATTTATTTTCTACAGTGTTAAGACTTTATTCCTCAGATGACATATGTCATACCTTTGTACTATTTCAATGGAGCTATGGACACTGGCACACTTTTCAGTATTTTTTTCATTAAAAATAAACTTTTGTGATATCACACAAGCATTATTTGTTAAATCCTGTTTCTCCAAGACAAGGTATATTTTCTCTTTGATTTTGGCATATGTTCATTTTGCTGTCTTCTCAATTTGCAAAATACCTGCACTCAACTTCTTGGAAACTAAGTGGTGGAAAGTAAGTCTTAATTTGTGGTTCCTCAATATCAAGCAGATTCTTAAGATGAGTATTTGACTTTGAACAATTAGACCATTGTTAAGCTCTTTTGATAAAATGATGCTGGCGAGTATCCAAAGAAGAGGCATTCGTACTCAACTACTCAACATATTTTTCTTTCAGCTATTCAGGCTGTAAATGAAGCCATCTGCTTTTCAAACTGCAGGGTGTTTGCTTCTTCACAAGGGCAGTCCAAAACACTAAAAGTATTTCTTCATTCCTTCTTCAACAAGACTCTCAGTTCATTCTCTCACATGCACGCTCCTTCATTTTGCATGTAGTTATTCCTAAATCTGTAAATGTGACACCAAATTTACTTGATTTATATATGAATTTAATCTTTATTCTTGGATATTCAGGGAACTTGGGAAAAATTGATTAAAATTTAGGAAAACATAAAAACATGATAATTGATATAATTACCACCAGTACTTGGACAGAAGATTCTAAATCAGGGGTGTCCAACCTTGGAGACCTTTAAAACTTGTGGACTGCAATTCAAGCTGACTGTGGAATTTTGGGAGTTGAAGTCCACAAGTCTTAAAGTTGCCAAGGTACAACATGTCTGTTCTAAATCATAGACTTAAAAGCTATTACTCAGGATCACAAAGCTTCCCTAAGAAGTGGCCTCCTCAGAGTCATACTTGACTCTTCAGAGGAATAGGATCATTTGGTTACATTGTGTGAATTGGCAATTAATGGCACTTGGGGTAGTTTATGTGAAGACACCAGCATTCCTCCTTTTCTGCCACAGTAAAGGGTAGCAGACATTTAAGTAGCGCAGTTACTTCCTTCAAGAATTAAATGCTTCATATGTGCTGGAATGTTATTTGACATCACTCTGGAATCTTATAGTCTTCACATTAGTAGAGTCCATTATTGTAGTAATCTTAGTCATGAAAGGGCTTAGATTCCACCACTGAGTCCTTCTGAGATCTTTGTTTATCTCAGTTCCTAAGATAAGCTTTTTCCTGGAGTCATTTTACAAGATGAAGTTGCTTGAAAATGATAAGAGGAGTGGCTTATGGAGGATTGAGATGCCCCATAAGTTTTCTGTGCCATTATCAGTCATAATAATACATAAGGGAGAGAAAAAACAGTAAATGAAAGCACTATTGAGTAGGTTCAAAATCCATTTAAACTCACCACTAAGTAAACAAAATCTACAGTGAGTGGTCCTTGATGCTCTCTGAGCTTGGTTGTTTCCTTGCAGGCGTTTCATTACCCAAATTAGGTAACATCATCAGTGCTCTGCAAGAGAACATCCAAGCTTAGAGAGCAACAAGGACCCCTCTTTTCAACCCTGAGCTACAAATATTCTCCTTTATTAGAATTTACAGTCCTAGAGCCACGACTGTATAACTTGGGTGTGTAACCAAATTTTGGTGACACATAAAAATGATAGTAGGAAAGCATTGAGTTTTCTACAATGAGGTGCCAGGCACTTTAACCTCACCGTTCACCTCTTGTCTTCCTCCCCACTCCTGTTTTCATAATTCCTGCTATTGCCAACTTTCCTCTGTTGTATTTTCTTTCTGATCTTTGACTATCCCGGTGTCCACCTGCACAAAGTACTCTATGATCTTGGAGCCAGCTAGACAAGTTGCAGGCAGTGGTGGGATTCAGCCGGTTCGCACCACTTTGGCAGAACCGGTAGCTAATTTTTTGTTGCCCAGGCCCAGAATGGACTTCTGGAAGCAGCATCCACACAGAGAACCGGTTGTTCACATATTTGAATCTCACCACTGGTTGCAGAGTTTCTGGTTTTCATTTTTTTTTTAGGGGGTGCAGATAGCATTTTAAATTTTTTTTAACAAAATTGCTGCAACAGTTGAACATAAATTTATTTTAAAGTGGTTTAAAATAAAAGTAAAGACAGAAAGTGGGAAAAGAATGAAATGTATTTATGAGAAACAAGGAAAAGAGGACGAGGAAGTTGTAGTTTTATCTCTTTCTGCGATTTTTTTGGTCTAATGAAGCCCCATGCAAAATAAAATGATTGGCTTGCTAAAAAAGCTAGAGAATGCAATACCACGTAACATTCATAATAGCAATCTTTTCATAAAGTCCCAGATACATCTAACGAGTCTGAATATGACTTTCAACTTAGAATAATGTGTTCAGGTTTTGGGATGTGATAGTTCCCGTCAGACATCAGTGTTAGCGTGTACTTTCTGTATTTAGGGATAAAGCACTCTGGCTGACAACTAGGGCTTAAGTGTGGTATATCTTAACTGTAACAAAGATGGTTGTATCCATCTGTAGCAATACTATATATCAGTGATGGCGAACCTTTTAGAGACCGAGTGCCCAAACTGCAATCCCAAACCCACTTATGCATCGTCAGGTGCCGGGTGGGTGTGGCCCATTGGGTGGGTGTGGCTGCGGTGTAACGGCAGACTGGGTGGGACTAAAAAGTTCAATCAATTCCAACTTTGCAAGATCTTTTTTTTTCCCACGAGAAGTTGAAATTGATTGATTAAACCTTTTTTGTTTTTGCACACGGCGACGGAGGCCTAAAGCGAAAAGGTTTTATAAAACCCAGCTGAAGGCCTAGGACTGGAGCGACGGCGCGCATGCCCACAGAGAGGGCTCTGAGTGCCACCTCTGGCACCCGTGCCATAGGTTCGCCACCACTGCTATATATCCATCTATAATTCTTGCGGATAAAGTCATTATGCACAGAACTGTGGTCAGGTGCCTTGTAATAACTTGATGACTTTAACTAAGTGCTAGGGAAAGAAGAATATGACTTTTGGACAAAAAGCAGGAATTTAAAGAAAGTGCCTCCGCCCCTCCCCAAGAAAGTCAAAAATTTGGCCAGAGTGAAAGAATAACAATAAAGGAGAATATTTGTAGCTCAGGGTTGACATGAAGGGTCCTTGGTGCTCTCTGAACTTGCTTGTTTTCTTGCAGATGTTTCATTACCCAAACTAGGTAACATCATCAGTGCTAGTAAGGAGTGCTGTTTGCTGTCATTTTATATTGTAGTGCCTTTCCCTGACAGTGTTGGTGTGGGGGGTGGTCTTTGAGATAGAAGCCAACAGCAAACAGCCCAATCAAAGAAAATCTCTAAGACCACCCCCACCAACACTGTCAGGGAAAGGCACTAGAATATAAAATGACAGCAAACAACACTCCTTACTAGCACTGATGATGTTACCTAGTTTGGGTAATGAAACATCTGCAAGAAAACAAGCAAGCTCAGAGAGCACCAAGGACCCTTTCATGAAAGAATAACTGGCTGGTGTTTTTTACTTACATAGACCCTCAGTAAATGACCCAGGGGTTCAGTCTGTTAAAATTCTAGTCTTTGGTATATAAACCTGGCTAGAATGGATTCTGTCCTAAATATTTTGATGTAATTAATCGAAGGAATAAAACATGCATATGAACTTATTTTCCTTGGGTGTGGTTACTCACCATTAAAGATCAGATCTTACATGTCAAGTAGTTCATCTCTGTCCTATGTCTTGACTCTGCTGGCAGTCCCGAGCAGTCAGCTGTGCTTGGGAAATTATTTATATCTATTAGATATCATATGTAGTTAGGTTCTTCACAGCCTGATGGCAGCTTTCTGTGCTTTCAAAGTTTTGATAGCCTGCCCAAGAATATTTTAGTCAACAAAATAGTTCTGTATGTGTGTGTGTGTGTGTGAGAGAGAGAGAGAGAGAGACAGAGAGAGAGAAGGCGCATCTGCCCATTTTGACTTTGTTTGAAAAGTCGAGTACAATATACAGAATGTTTTACAGCGACTCCAGCTCAAAGTCTAGCTATATCTTGACTTGTCTCCAAATCCCTCTACTAAGCAGTATGTCATTCTCCGCTAGATGACTAGGCCTGGTCAGCTGTTTTTCTCTGATCCAGTTTTGTATTTATATGGGTAGGAAAGCTGCCTCTTTTATCTCTGCCCCTTAATAGAACACCCATGAGTCATAGGAGACTTTCCTCCAATTTTGGTTTTGTGGGGGGAGGGGCTGGGGGGTAGAGACATTGTTTATTAGTGCCTTTTGGCTCTTTCATTAAGTAAAGGGTGCAACTTTCAGTTTCTCCTGCATCCCCTTTGTCCCCGTCTTGCTGATTTGTTTTCAAAAATGGTTTAGATAAGATAACCTTTATTGTCATTTTTTTTACTGTGGGCACAACAGCACACATCAAAAATGAAATTTAGTTGCCCGCTCTCAAAGTGAAAAACATATATGACACATACCTAAACATACTCTGTTCAACGTATGTATAGACCCACACCCCTACATATGCATAACAAATATTAAATACTGTCCACCTTGAATATATAACGGAAGGAGGAAGCTTGAGAGTTCACAAGGTTAATGCTGCATGGAATGAAACTATGGCTGAATCTGGATGTTCTGCTACGGATATCACGAAGCCTCCTCCCAGAAGGTAGCAAGGAAAACAGGTTGTGAAGAGGATGTGTAGTGTCCCAGATGATCTTACGGACCCTGCTCAAGCAACGCTTCTGTGCTATGTCCTGGATGGGAGGGAGGGAGCTGCCAATGATCTTTTCGGCCATCCTCACCACTCTCTGCACCACCTTCCTGTCTGAAGCAGTGATGCTTCCAAACCAGACCGTGATGCTGTATGACAGGATGCTCTCGATCGTCCCCCTGTAGAAAGTGTCAGGACAGGGGAAGGAAGATGTGCTTTTCTCATGCGATGCAGAAAATGCAGGCGCTGCTGTGCCCGCTTCACCAGTTTTTCACTGTTGAGCGACCAAGCCAGCCTACTTGTTAGCTGCACAGGAATTTGATGCTGGTAACCATCTCCAC